GAGCTCACCGAGCCCGAGAGCAGCCTGCAAGTTAAATCATCACACAACAAGGGTTAAAATATTAAAATCGAAAATGTGCTAAGTCCAAGCAAAATATGCTAAAGGAGGCAAATGGAAAATCTTACAGTGATAGAAGCGTGGAGGACCTTGTTGCCGAGGGCGTCGTCTTTCAGCCTGGACAGTACCGACTTATCCGTCGGGGGGGGGGGGGGGGGGGGGTGGCGCCAGTTAGGAACTCCCTCGAGTTGAGGGTTCCATGCATGATGGCAGTCCCCTTTGTGATAGAGAACTGCACGTGATCTTGGGGCCATGCTAAATCAGCCCCCTGACCCGGGGGGACATTGGGGAGCAGCAATCACCATCGGCGTACCGGAAGAGGAGTGGCCTTCAGATATAACCACCGGCGCCCCCTTCGCGCCAGCAGCCTTCTTGGCCTTTATGCCGGTGGCCTCAGCAGCTTTCACCGGGGCCTTCCTCTTGGCCGCTTCGGTTTTCAGGGTACCAGCACCCTCGGCAACAGCTTGGGAGGGCCCCCTCGGCCCCCTGGTCCTTCAAATCTTCTTCCCTCTGGAAAAAGTCTTCGATGGGCCTCTGCTGAAAACGGCCCTTCCTTTTTCTTCTTCGGCTCTTTGGCCAGCTGTTTCTTCAGTTTAGCAAAGTTCTTGGGCGTCCATTTCTGGGCCTGCAAAAGAAGAGAAAAATACACAATCATCAGATTACAACAATGAAGCAAAAATTTCCTAAGTACATAACTAAAAAGCCCCCGGTAATCACCTTCGGCACTCTCATAAACCCTGTCTATCGGGAGGTATTCATCACCAGCCTCCCCCACCAAGCGGAATCGCCGGAAGCCCAGCTTGAGAAGTTCTTCCGGAAGAGTGGCACCCTTGATGGTCTCCAACTTGTCTGACCCCTCCGTCTTTTCGGCCAATTTCCTCCCACTCTTCGCTCGAGGGCGGGCACTCCCAACCTTCGGATGCCTCTTGAAGATGTCCCGCAGAGGAGCGGCAAACGGATTCTCCGCCATCCGAATGTAACAGAATTTATCCTTCCAACCCTTGTGGGACGAAGGCACCTCGGAAAACAGCCTCCATTCCGGGGATTTGTTGAAGGTTGGCGAAGCCCTCCAGCGTTAGAGTGCCCCCCCCCCACGCCCCCCCCCCCCCCCACCCCCCCCCCCCCCCCCGGCAAAGATTAAAGGAGAGGAAGAATTGCTCTAAGGTGGGTTCAACTCCCCTCTCTCGGCACAACGCTAAGAAGCCCGCCAGGTAAGAATGACTATTTGGAGTCAACTGGCAGGGGGCAAGTTTGACAAACCGGAGATATTGGAGCACGAAGGGGTGGAGAGGGAACCGAAGGCCCAACTCCACCGAGAGTATGTGTACGGGCGAAAAAGCCGTCGGGGACATGCAACAGCACGTCATTTGGCCCCGGCTCCACCACCTGCGCTGAAGGGCCCGACGAAGAACTGTGTTGCCATATATTCTGCATGTGTAGCCTTCGTCTTCACCTCTAAGGCGGCAATGTTCAGATAATGAGTGCCCTTCGGGTATTCCCACCGGCCTCCCAGCGTCGACGGCTGCTTGTTTCTTCTTCGGGGGGGCCCAGATCTTCTTCTTCTTATTGCTCGGAGCCACACTCAGAGGTTCCGGATCGAGTGGCCTTGAGCTCCCTGCTTCGGCATCATTGCGGGGGGGGGGGGGGGGGGGGGGGGGGGGGGGGGGGGTGGAGCAGTCGAATGGTCAACTTTCATGGCCTGGCCTGCTCTCTTCTCTTCCTTCCTCCTCTGGGCGTTTTGGACCGCGAGGGCCATCTTCCTCATCTTCGATCACTTGCCTCAAACTCCTCGGCTTCGGCCTCGGTTATGAGCCGGTTCTAGACTTCGGGGAGCTACTTGCGAATCGTTTGATGTCCGAGGGCTGCTCACTTGAGGGACTCCACCCTCAGAAATGCTCTCGGATTGCACCGGGGCCTCCCTCGAGATGTCCTGAGAATCGCTTTGCGACGACATTTCTTCCCTAATACGAGACGGAAGGTAGAAAGGAAAACACTACTCGAAAGTTCTAACCGGAGGCTCCTAACGTCTCTAAAACACCGAATCTAAGAACAATAAAGCTAAGTATGCTGAGGAAACGGAGAACAGATGAAGAACTGACCTTTGGGATTGGAGTTTAATCGAGGGCAAAGGTTTCTCTCTCTAGAATTTTTTGGCAGAGCTTTGTTATCACGTAAAATCGCACAAGGGAACTGAGCTCAGCCTTGAGGTATTTATAGGCAACCGGGGCCTCGAGAACTGGGCCTCGATTTGAGAAGCCCGTCATTTTGGGCCGCCGGTTCAACCAATGAATGGCCCTCGCCCACCTTCAGCCAACGCCTGCATGCCACGTCGACCCCTCTTCCAACGGCTCTATTACAACGGCTATATTTCCGAAATACCGGAGTGCCCTCAGATGACAGCCTCCAGCCATCACCACGCAGTGGCCTTCGGTGAACAACTTTTCACCAATTGCCTTCGAGCAGGCAGCAATATAAGCTTTCGGCTTGTCAATGTTGCCACTCACCAGAATATACTTGGTCAATGGCCTTCGACTATCATCCACAGGAGCCTCCGGTGAACATATGTCAACTGACACCTTCGACCAAGCTGCAATATAAGCCTTCGGCTTATCAATGTTGCCACTCCTCAATCAAGGACACCCCTCGGGGTTACATACAAACATCATAACTCCTTCAGCCCAAACTCGCCTTCGGCCTAAAGGAGTGGGGGACTGGCACACACCCCTCGGTAATCACACATAACATAAAGCAAAATTCCCACCTGCAAAAATGCATGTTGCCCTCGGGTACATGCATCATTACACCCTTCGGCAGAAGCAAAATATCAAAAATTTCCCCAAGTCACTGACAATGATGGAGCAGCCCTCATCACAACACATACAGATGTTATCTACACTTTCCTCAGAAAACCCTCGACATGTGAGGGACTGAGGGAAGCCTTCGGCTAACAGCAGAAGACAAGTGATCAGTCAAAAGCACCCAACAAACAACGAAGCCTTTGGGAGAATAAACACAATTACTCCTTTTCCCTCAAGTACCTTTCGGCAAAAGGAGTGAGGGACTCCTGATGGAGTATATGGCCCAGGAACCCCCGGCCCATAGACTCCTACTTCTCCTACAAAGGCCCATTGAGCCCATGGAACATCCGAGGCCCAAATACAGTGGTCCAAATTCAAGGAGGCCCAAAATGCACACTGTGGTGCCTTCGGCCACCTTGGCCGAAGGCTCAAAAACTAACAGAATAGCCTTTTTGGGCATACGAAGCGACTGGGGAAAGCGGCAGAAAATAGGAGCCTTCGGCATTGTGAGCTCTCGGCATCAGGGAAGTCTTCGGCTACACAGGCCCTCGGCCGCAGGGGGAGCCCTCGGCCAATGGCTCAATCATCGAAAAGATCCCCTTTGGAGACAGCCAACCACCACATTTAATGCGACGTCACATCCACCCACCGCATTCAATGCGGTGAACATGCCACTGCCGGTGCCACCCCGATTGATGTGACCCCTCGGCCGTTGGATTACTGACACGTGTACTCCCATCGCATTTATTGCTGCTATAAATAGCAGCCCTTATTCTCCTTGTAAAGACACGCTGAGTTCATTTAATAAAATCGCCTCTCTCTCCTCCTATTCGCTCTAACTTCTCTCTAGTTATTCCCGCAATAACCCCTCGGATAAGATACCCCCCGGGTAGACTATCCATCATTTGGTGCTCTCGTTGAGAGGTCCGAACAATTAAGTAAGAAACCCTCCTCTTCACCAAACAAAAACACCTACCAAAATGGGAAAAACTCGTGCTCAATCTAAAACCCTCGAGGAAAACCACGTAGCCAACGGCGACACCAACGGGGTCGAAGCCTCCAACAGGCTCTTGGTACCCGAAGGAGGTACAATCCTCGAATTGGAGCAGGCTGCCACTGACCTCCGTCAGCAGCTGCAGAAGGCTGCCCCTGATGCCCGCATAGGGCTTGATAATCGAAGGAGGGATCGGAGTGAGAACCCAGTTCCCCCTCCAGCCCCGGCCATCGATCTTCAGGCTGCCTTTGCGGCCTTTGTCCAAAATATGGCGATGAGCTCAGGTGCCTTCATTCCTCAGGCACCTCTCCGGCCTTATTTCGGGGGAAATGTTGTCCATTTCCTGCCGCCCCCTCCTCTGTTCAACAATCCCATTATGCGAATTGGCAACGCCGAGGGGGTATTTAATGTTTGAAATTATTTTCAATTATTAATTGTACTTCATTTTTTATCAATTAATTGTACTTCATATTTCAATAAATATACATTGAATTTTTTGGAGCAAATGTGAATCAATTTTTTTTTTAAATAAAGCCCAGCCCGAAGCCCGGCCCAACCCGGTACCCGTTGAAACCCGGACCGGTACCAGGGCTTAAATCCGTGGCCCCAAAGCCCGCCCCATCCCGACCCGGAGCCCGACCCGGAAACGTCCCACTCCACCCCTAGTAAGAGGTATGTATCGTTCTGTATCGGATTGCAATGTACTTGAATATACTCCATATGTTTTTATGCTCATTGGTTTAAGAACAATCATAGAATATTTATCTTATTTTGCAATTATTAAAACGTTCTTACTTGAGCAACTTATAGAGTATGAGTGTATGAGACCATATAGTATTGATATCGTCAAACTTTTATAAGGGTTGGTTTGCAACTGCTTCTAAAAAAGCACTTCTCAGCTTTTGGCTTTAAAAAAGCACTTATTTTCCCAAACACTACAACTTTTATTTTTCTCGGCTTCCGCGTCAAAAGTGCTTTTACTTTTTCTATTACACAAAAAGCACTTATTTTACCAAACACTACCCACTTTTACTTTTCAAAATCACTTTTTTCTCAAACACTATCAACTTTTATTTAATCACTTCTCCCCATTTCATTAAAAAAAGCACTTTTTTAAAAGCAGAAGCTGTTGCAAACAGACCCTAAAGCTCCCACGATTCAGCTTCTATTCTAAAATACGGACTAGAAACAGTACAATCCCAAGAGGATGATGGAATGCTCCAACAAATACAAAAGACGGATAATCCAGTAATGTTCTACTTCCCTATAGCATATATGTAGTACATGGTATAACCTACGCTCTTCAATTAGTAAAAAGTAAGACCTTGTAATCTGTGAGTTAAATGTTCTATAATACCAAATGTCACTTCACGAGCACTCCAGTTTCTTATGCCCATCGGTTTCCAACCTCAAATGAAAAATGAAGAACCCATAAGTTATAGAAGAACTTATATAACCTGTGAATTAAGCGTGGTTATGAAAATTAAAGAAACCATAAATCACCAAATAAAATGTAAGAAAATTGGATGTCACCAAATATATCACAACAAAAGGGCTTTAGAATTTTGTGTAGAACATATGCAAGGAGAATCAAAGGAAACGCCCCTTATAAAGGGCTACAAATGCCTTATATTCAGGGAATAGAGCAGCCCCTACTTATGTCACAGAAAATCACTTTCGCTTTTGGAGACGCACGAGGGTAGGAGATCATCTCCCTTGGTGCTTTTAAAGCCACAGAGGCATCAATGCGGTCTGATTCCGTAATTAAAACTTCCTCAAGGGAGGGAGACTTTGATAGAATTAATTTGATAAAGAGCATTTCCTGTGTTGATCCGTCAAATGATTTCATCTTGACTGTTCTAAGCTCGCCGAGATCCAGATCACTAAACCAACTGTCCATATCTCTCAAAATTGTTGGATCGGCTTCACCATGCAAATGTGACTACATGATAAGAATTAAAAAAAAATTAGAACATAAATATTCTGATCTTAATTACAAAAAAGACGGGTAATCGGAGGATATTACAACCTGATGCTTTAATATAAACATCTCCAGTTCGCGAAGCTTTGGGCATTTCCGAAGCAATTGAATAACAAGATTAACGCAATTCGCATCAGCAAATCTAAAAAAACGCAGCTCAATCACTTGCAGATTTGTAGCAATTGGAAGCCTCTCTTGGATATTTATTGTAGCATCGGTGTTATACTATATAAAGTCAAAGACAAACAAAGCAAGTGGTTAACCCTGAATGAGAAAAGAACTCTCAAAGACTAGAGAAAAAACATATGTATCAGGGCCTATCCTTTAAGAATGGTGCAACATTGTACAAAGGCACGATTCTCACCAAAAATGTAAATGCACCGAAGCGAAGAGTCTTAATGACACGAAAATGAAGTTCAAACCATTTCCATTCAGCCACGAACTGGGCATAGGTAAAGCTGAGGTATTTAAGTCTTGGAGCATCGATCACGAACTTATCTATCCCATCACAATCCCAGAACACTAGCACCTCAAGATAAGGAATACGTGGGATAACTGTGAGGCTATCATCACGGTAAAAATCAACGCAACTGAACTCTAAAGAGGTAACACCATAAAACATACTACCCTGTCGAATATTGACTGGCAAACTAATATCCATGTACTCAAGTTGCAGTTGTTTGATTGTCGGGCAGAAAATTATACAAACAGGTAGTTTGTACATATTTCCCATATCGTTCTCAGCAGCAATATTGAGGTTAAGTTGCTCAATACCATTTTTTGATAGAAAACGACACCAAAGATCTAAATCCGACTGCTTCATAGCAGGTCTCCATTGAGAAGTGTCCAGAGTGAATTTCCTAACCGGTCTAGGACGGAGAAACAGAGCATTAGTTATCATTCTCGAGCATCTAACGCCTTTACCTTCTCCTAATAAGCCCTCATCACTAAAGACAAGCCGGCCATGTCGCAACCAAACCTCATTCCATTGAGTGGAGAGAAGAGCAGTTTTGGCCGCTTCTCGAGTATCTAGACACTCTAATATTTTGTGCTTTATATCTTCTGGCAGCTGACTTACTAGATCCGACGAAGTTCTGCTCCGAAGAGAAGGATGACTAACCATTAGATCGAAAACAGCTTGTGAAGTTGTAAGCGTGCAAACTCTTCACTTCTTCAGTTGAGAAATCGAGCTGCGGTTAAAGGCAAAATAGCCCTGAATTCCTGTTTCTAAATAATAATAACGAAGCCCTAAATCGGAGCAAAATAGCCCTAAACACCTTATTTTTTGCTAGCCGCGCCCAAATTAGAACATTATTATTGGACTATTATGCCTATATATATGGCGGCTATATCTCTCTATATACAAACCACCGTGGGAACCATAGCCAAAATCCCGCCCAAAAATGTCATAGTCACGGTAAAAAAAAATGGGTCAAAGCTATTCAATGTGATTGACGGGGGTTGTCTTGGTCGATGACGAGTTTTCATCCTTTTGAATTACTTGGTCATAAATGTTGCTTTAGTTTAGCGGTCGAGTAGACTTCTGCCCATCGATGATATCCAAGAAAAGCATTTTTTTTTTCAAGAAAAGCATTTTTGTCAGATTTGTAGTACATATACGCATTGAATGTTACATTGTCCACTGTGTATCAGTGTATCACACAAATCTTTTCTCTGATTTTGTTACTTTGATTTACTCCCTCTGTCCCTAATAAAACTTCTAAATAAGTTTGACACACAGTTTAAGAGAGTGAGTATTGTGTGGTGGAGAGTTGTGCAGAGGAGAGAGAAATGTGTAAGAAATTGTTGTGAACCACAAATTCTGACCAAAAAGGGAAAGTGAAAGTTTTAATTGGGACGGACGAAAAAGGAAAGTTGGAAGTTTATTTTGGGACGGAGGGAGTATTAGTTTGTTCCTTTACAATATAAGAAGTACATTTGTCAGTCATTTTATAACAGCTCAACTACTAGAATTAAGTTAAATTTAAAATATTCAAAAGACAATCACTTTTCTGTTCAGTATTTATTCAATTGATATATCAAAACACAACTAAGGGAGTGTTTGCAACTTCTTCTGCTTAAAAAAAGCATTTTTGGAGTGATTGGAAAAAAAGTGGTAAATAATAAAAGCTGATAGTATTTGAGAAAAAAATGATTTTGAAAAGTAAGAGTTGGTAGTGTTTAGTAAAATTAAGTGCTTTTTGTGTAATAGAAAAGGGAAAAACATTTTTCACACACAAACCGAGAAAAAGTAAAAGTTGATAGTGTTTGATAAATAAGTACTTTTTAAGCTAAAAGCTGAGAAGTGCTTTTTGTAAGCTATTGCAAACACTCTCTAAAAGTACCGGTAAATTGAACATAACCCACAATAGTTCTTCCATATATAAAGACCATTTCATTTGTCCATCAGCACACATACTCATCACAATGGAATGAGATCTCTCATCTGGGAAGTTGATCACGGTAGATTTACTTGGGCATGAAAAGTAAAGGTTACAGCAGCCTATGAGGTGCTTCCATTTCAGCTGAGGAGAGACTAGAAATTGCGTAGAATGATGTCCAGGTAAATTATACGAAGTACTACACAATCTTTGGCATGTTTCAAGTGTTTGCCTTGCTTTCTTTAAAAAAAGATACACTTACACTATTGCATACTCCGTATAACTATGATTCAACAACCACAAGTGTGAAGCAGTTCATTCAAACACCATGTATGCTCACTATAGGGGCCACTTTAAATAAAAAAGAAACCAGTGGGCGTAACTCAACTGGTAGTGAGAGAGTGCCACAAGGGTTAAATCTCGAGTTTGAATCCTGGCAACTGCTATAAGTGGTTACTATGCTGAAAAATGCATAGGACCTCTGCAAGTACCGGGGACGGAGCCCCACTCTCTATCTGTCATGTTGTGATTATAATCCAACTTACATCCTCCCATCGTGTTATCCGGTCGGTGTTGGGACCCTTTTTGTTAAATAAAAAAGAAGTTGTTTTTAATATAAATACTGTAACTACTTCGCACATATAAAATCAGTGTACAAAATGATTTTTTTTAATGCATGCTTAATAACTAATACGTAGTATTTAAAAGTGCCTTATACCAATATACTAAGAACTAACAAATAGACAAAGTACAACTTTGGCTTTCTAATTTGAGCATAGTTCATATTGCTACAACACCAGTAGCTCTTAAAAAACTTCCTGTGATTTCTTAAAATAAGTAAAAATTAAAAATTTAATGGAATTTAGGTGGATTGAAGTTCTATATTTGTAACACCCCAATAGAGAAAACAACATTTTTTATGTTGTAGGTTAAAGGGGCCTGGGTATAAAGTTCAGTTAGGGTGAGGGTTATTTGGGTTCGTACTCCCTCCATCCCCAAAAATTGTTCTCGGTTTTTTTTGGGCCGTCCCAAAAAATTGTTCCACTTTCCCCTTTTGGAAAATTTTGTGTGGCTCACATTCATTTACCTTTTTCTTACACAATCTCTTTTGTTGCTCCGCTTGGTTTATATGAAAATGGCCATTTGCAGCCTAAAGTTAAATTGTTAGCTAAAAACGGGTATGATTTGTGCAATATTGAAATAATTTCAATAAAATAGGGAGTACTTATTCATTAATAACTACACTTATACACTTGATTTGAGATATATCAGTATAATAATGTGGTTTGTGTAACACATATTTTATATTCCGATCCCACATACAATTAATGTTGGTCAACGTTAATGCTACAATTGATAATCCTTAAAAAATGAAGAATGAATGTGTTAAGTACATACTGAAAAGACGAGAGGGTTGTAAACTGCTTCCAGATTCAATTCTTTTATTATTATACCTCAGTTGTCGTACCCGTTCCGATCGTCAAATAAAGCAACGTTGAATAGAATAATATAACATTCACTTGACGTTGAGAAAGGAATTTAGGGTTATAGATTAAAACAGTTCTATAATACGTACGGAGTATAACATAATCGGTATTTTATATACTCCGTATATGTTATGGTTTAAATGAGTATTATGATCAACAAATTGATCATACTGTTAATATTGTTTACAAGGAAATATATCAAAAATTGTACTACGTAATTTGTTCCTTCGTTGTAATGTTTGTGTGCTTATGGAATGCCGTGAACGCTAACATATACTCTATTGGACTATTTAATACTGTATTTTTATAAAGCTTTGTTTTCCCTTAACTCTTTTATGCATTGTTAGGATGTTTTTACTTGGACTGTAATTTGCCCCAGACCAGACCAGACCAGACCAGTCCAGACCAGACCAGACCAGTTCAGACCAGACCAGACCAGACCAGACTTGGATAGTTATAAAAATACAAAGAAACCAGACCTTACCAGACCAGACCAGACCAGTTCAGACCAGACCAGACCAGATCAGACCAGACCAGACCAGACCAGCAAATTACAGTCCAAGTAAAAACATCCTTATTTTATCAATCTTGGACGTTAATACATTATATTTCGTCATGTGTGCGATAATTTTGTCCCGTGCATCGCACGGGTGAGAATCTAGTTTGGGACAAAGTAAATTAACCTCACACTTTATCAGTTTTTCCAATAACCCAAATACAACATTTTGCTATCACCGTAAAGTGTAAACCATTTCTCTAAGAGCATCTCCATTCATGATCTTAAAATAAATGGTTTTTAATGACACATCATTGACACATCATATTTATTAAATAAATTTTAAATAATCTCAAATCTTAAAAATCTCCATCAACCATGATATTCAAATAATTAGTTTTTCTAGACCATGCATTAAATGAAATTTAACTGCAATCTAAAATAATCCGGGATTCAAATCTTGATACCGGATTATCTTTTTCAATAATCTCTCTAAATAATCTCTCACTCACAATGATAATTTTTAAAATAATCTTACACATCATCCAATTAAACTCTAAATAATCTAAACAATGGGGATGCCCTAAATACAGTTTTCTTTTGTTTATACGTAGTATTTTACAAACAATTAATAATTAAGATTAAAATACAAACCAGACCAGAACAGACCAGACTTGTATAGTTATAAAAATACAAAGAAACCAGACCAGACCAGTTCAGACCAGACCAGTTCAGACCAGACCAGACCAGCAAATTACAGTCCAAGTAAAAACATCCTACATCTGTGATCTGTGTTTATATACTTCGCACTGTTGTACAAAATAATAAAGTTTTCAAAAGCAAATCTTTATTATACAAAATAATGAAAAAATTAATTTCCTATACAAAGTATTTTTTCAAATGCAAAATGACCATCCTTTATATTAAACAAACAAGAGTTGTACGTAATTAATCAAAACTGGGCGAAATTAATATTATCATATTGGAATGAAAATTCTTTAGTTTTTTTTTGGTAAACAAAATTCTTTAGTTATAAATACACAACTAAGGAATTGAAGGTTGGAATTTGGTTGATAGATGTAGAATAGATTGTGAGCCCATTTGGTGATATTGGAATTCCGGTTGAAGTGACTAAGTCTGGTGAATTATGAAAAAAAACTTCATGTACATTTCGTTAACAATCCAACATTTACACGATATTCATTTAAAGGTTCGTTTTTATCGAAAATCCATTAAAAATCCCATCTTTACATATCATATTCTCTAATTAGTCCCAACTTAGGACTTACCGGGTGTAGTACATTTATCCATTATAGTTACAAGTAATCTTAATCAGATGGGTTTTTAAGTGCATTGCTGGACCCGTCTACCTATTTCTTACCTCACGGATTTTCCTCCCCTCCTCCATAAGTGATCTTCTTAAGAACAAGAATATTTCCTTTTTATAGCACTAAGTTATAGCGTTTGTGGAGCTAATGCTATAGTTTCACACCATTAGTCTTAATTGTTTAAAAATGGGCATCTAACAACAACAAAAAACGCTATGCTAAATGGATACGCGAAAATAAAAAGATGGCGGGACAAAACACCTCGCATTAGGGTTTTTATCTCTTTCTCCAACATTCTCTTAGAACCTTTATCTCTTTCTGCCTCATTTCAGCCCTTCTTCTTCAACGTTTACTCTCCACTTCTCAAGCGCCAGGTATTTTAGATTTACTTTCACTCTCTTCTCCTTCACCGTTCTTTGTCAGCCCTAGAGCCGTTCCCCAAAAAATTGAAAAAAAACAAGGCCCCCTAATTTTGTATACTTTACATCATACATGTCTATTTTCTAGATTAATTGTTCCGCAGCTCAGTTTGATGAATCGCCCCATCTGCGATTCTGCGAAGGAGACAAGGAGTGAAGACGATTGAGACTCGGACAAACCTGCTCCCACCTCTCTTCAGAAAGATTGAAAT